CCCAAACATGGCTCTATAACGAAGCAAAAGTCAATTATAATACCACCACTTGTGACGGATGTAGGTTGGTGGAGCCAGACTCAAAAGTCAAAGCCAAAGAAAGTGAGAACTCAAACTGTGTCTCTATTAAAGCAGAGGCAGCCAGACTGCAGCCGGAGCTGGTGCACTCATTCATGATTTTATCTGCAGCCACAGTGGGGCGTATCAGTGTTTGTGAGCATGTTAAACGTGTACGCGGACTTATCAGTGATCTGCCGCCGCCTGCTTCAGTCAGCCTCTCCTCAGGCATCAGTTTCACCTGACTGCACACTTCCAACCGCAGGAGCTTTATCCTGGTGTCTGATAAATGTCCAGGGTGATACACCCACCAACCACTGACAATCTTTATTTTTTGACGATAAGTAAAGGTGGGATTTTCTTGTTGTAATGAATATTAAACATTATAATCAGGATTACAGTATTCTCTAAATGTCCCAGAGCCTAAATAAAGATATATTTATTTCCAAAAATAAAAAGTCAATATTTTCAACAGGTTACTGTTTAAATTTGGTTAATTAATTAATTAAAAAATTCTAAAAATTTCAATTTTTGAGACAAATCTGAAATCAAACTCAACACACCTAATATATAAAATATTAAAAATATATCTATATATATATATTTAAATTATTATTAATTAATAATAAGGTGCCTGAGCGACATATTTTTCTTTACGTATTTTGACTTTTAATCAGACAACTTCTTTAGTGAACATCGTCTTATACGTCCAGTTAAAGTGTTGCCTTACAGACAAGATTCAGGGGAAAACAAGAGCCGACGGTCTGTCTTGAATGTGATGCTGGACTCAGAGTGAACGAAAGTCAGCGCTGAAGGATAAATGATGAAACTCTGACACCTTGAGTCAGCGTCAGAGGAAAGTAAACAGTCGGGCGAAACAAGAAGACAGTTTGACATTTGAGCTTTGTTTTGACATTTGGGAATTTACCGAGTCTTTATCTTTTATTGAACACCTTTTACTGTTAAACAACCCTCTGTCAGAGCAGCTCCCCTGATGCCGGGCTATGTTCTGTTTCCCTCCAACTATATGAAAATAAAGGCTGACTTGACATTGTTGTAGATTAGCCTTATGCTAACTCTATCTAGTTCAAGCGTTGGTAAAGAAGAAACTCAGAAGCTAGTTGAGGCTAGGTGATTACATCCTAGCTAGGTGTGCTTCAACTCAGGTAAGCTAATCCTTGCTCACCGTTATAAATTTGATTCATTCATAATAGTTTACTAAGGTTCAGCTGACGGAGGTTGTTGTTTGAAGAAATTAAATTTAAAATGTATCTTAATAAAATGTTATCGGTAAAATAATTAATGACGGTTCAAGGGAGAAGTCGTATTTATACGTATTTAATCACAGTGATGCTGGAAAACACAGATATCTGTCCACCAACACCTGTCGATGATTCTAATTCACCTGTTTGTTCAGAAATTATTACACCATAACAATGTTGCACTCGTTGCCACCTGCTCTGTTGACTCTTCATTTGACCAATCACACGCAATAATCACACAAATTTTCCACATCCTGTCATCTGCCCTGTTGCTACGGCAACCCAGTGACACTGCCTGTTGATTGGTTTTGAGTGTCGATTATTTTGGGGTCACGAACTTCAGCGCTTTAAATTAATGGAATATGTCGCAGGGCGACCGGGGCCGTGTACACAGACACCAGGGGTGACATTAGACAGTCAATGGGAGTCACAGCTCGTACACATCTAATTATTAGAACCAGTGACGGGCATCAAGTGGGGAATACCAGCTGGGGAAACTGTGACACAGCAGCTTTTAAACACAGAGACTCAACACAAGACAAAGAACACAAATTCAACAAGTTATTTCTCCCCAAACATGGCTCTATAACGAAGCAAAAGTCAATTATAATACCACCACTTGTGACGGATGTAGGTTGGTGGAGCCAGACTCAAAAGTCAAAGCCAAAGAAATTAGCCACATTTGACTGTATTTAGTCACATTTAGCCACATTTGACTGTATTTAGTCACATTTAGCCACATTTGACTGTATTTAGTCACATTTAGCCACATTTGACTGTATTTAGTCACATTTAGCCACATTTGACTGTATTTAGTCACATTTAGTTCTATTAAACTCTGCTTGGTCACATTTAGCTCTATTTAGCCACATTTAGCTTGTTTTAGCCCCATTTAGCTCTCTTTAGCCACATTTAGCTCTTTTTAGCCCCATTTAGCTGTCTTTAGCCATATTTAGCTCTATTTAGTTCTGCTTGGTCACATTTAGCTCTATTTAGCCACATTTAGCTTGTTTTAGCCCCATTTAGCTCTCTTTAGCCACATTTAGCTCTTTTTAGCCCCATTTAGCTGTCTTTAGCCATATTTAGCTCTATTTAGTTCTGCTTGGTCACATTTAGCTCTATTTAGCCACATTTAGCTTGTTTTAGCCCCATTTAGCTCTCTTTAGCCACATTTAGCTCTTTTTAGCCCCATTTAGCTGTCTTTAGCCATATTTAGCTCTATTTAGTTCTGCTTGGTCACATTTAGCTCTATTTAGCCACATTTAGCTTGTTTTAGCCCCATTTAGCTCTCTTTAGCCACATTTAGCTCTTTTTAGCCCCATTTAGCTGTCTTTAGCCATATTTAGCTCTATTTAGTTCTGCTTGGTCACATTTAGCTCTATTTAGCCACATTTAGCTTGTTTTAGCCCCATTTAGCTCTCTTTAGCCACATTTAGCTCTTTTTAGCCCCATTTAGCTGTCTTTAGCCATATTTAGCTCTATTTAGTTCTGCTTGGTCACATTTAGCTCTATTTAGCCACATTTAGCTTGTTTTAGCCCCATTTAGCTCTCTTTAGCCACATTTAGCTCTTTTTAGCCCCATTTAGCTGTCTTTAGCCATATTTAGCTCTATTTAGTTCTGCTTGGTCACATTTAGCTCTATTTAGCCACATTTAGCTTGTTTTAGCCCCATTTAGCTCTCTTTAGCCACATTTAGCTCTTTTTAGCCCCATTTAGCTGTCTTTAGCCATATTTAGCTCTATTTAGTTCTGCTTGGTCACATTTAGCTCTATTTAGCCACATTTAGCTTGTTTTAGCCCCATTTAGCTCTCTTTAGCCACATTTAGCTCTTTTTAGCCCCATTTAGCTGTCTTTAGCCATATTTAGCTCTATTTAGTTCTGCTTGGTCACATTTAGCTCTATTTAGCCACATTTAGCTCTTTTTAGCCACATTTAGCTCTCTTTAGCCACATTTTGCTCTCTTTAGCCACATTTAGCTCTATTTAGTTCTGCTTGGTCACATTTAGCTCTATTTAGCCACATTTAGCTCTTTTTAGGCACATTTAGCTCTCTTTAGCCCTATTTAGCTCTGTTTAGCCACATTTGACTGTATTTAGTCACATTTAGTTCTATTAAACTCTGCTTGGTCACATTTAGCTCTATTTAGCCACATTTAGCTCTTTTTAGCCACATTTAGCTCTCTTTAGCCACATTTAGCTCTTTTTAACCCCATTTAGCTCTATTTAGTTCTGCTTGGTCACATTTAGCTCTATTTAGCTCTATTTAGCTCCATTTAGCTCTATTTAGCCAAACTTAACTCTATTTATCCCCATTTAGCTCTCTTTAGCTCTACTTAGCCACAACAGCCAATGTTTTCATTTGATTATTTTAAATCAAACTTTCGAATTACATCCAGAACAAAAACAAAAAGAAAAGAAAACCGCCACATCTCCAACAAATACTAAAGCAGTCATTTAATTTTTCCTTAAGCTTTAAGCACACAGACGTTTGTTCTTCTTGAAGAGTCCTGCTCCTCAGAAGCGAGCAGCTGGTGCAATCTCAGCTCTGAGGGTGCTTATTAAAAGCAACAGTGCACACTAAAATGTATTAACTAATTAGAACTGTACGCTTCCTCCTGTTGACACAATTTTCCCAGGCAGTGTTTGCCATCGTGGGCTCTTAAATTCCTTCTTTTGTGTGGTCTGTTCCCACAGGCCTTGTTTGGACACAGTAATCTGAAAAGAATCCCAAAAAAAATTTTTTTTGATGGAATTTAAATTAAGCTCTACTTAGCCACAACAGCCAATGTTTACATTTGATTATTTTAAATCAAACTTTCGAATTACATCCAGAACAAAAACAAAAAGAAAAGAAAACCGCCACATCTCCAACAAATACTAAAGCAGTCATTTAATTTTTCCTTAAGCTTTAAGCACACAGACGTTTGTTCTTCTTGAAGAGTCCTGCTCCTCAGAAGCGAGCAGCTGGTGCAATCTCAGCTCTGAGGGTGCTTATTAAAAGCAACAGTGCACACTAAAATGTATTAACTAATTAGAACTGTACGCTTCCTCCTGTTGACACAATTTTCCCAGGCAGTGTTTGCCATCGTGGGCTCTTAAATTCCTTCTTTTGTGTGGTCTGTTCCCACAGGCCTTGTTTGGACACAGTAATCTGAAAAGAATCCCAAAAAAAATTTTTTTTGATGGAATTTAAATTAAACTGTATTTTTTTTTGGGGGGGGGGGCAAGGCATCAGGGGGTTTGTGATAATAATAACGTGTGAAGCAGGGGAGAAATCTTGAAAAGAGATTTCACCAGGTGATAGTTTGTTAGACATTAAATAGGTTCTTACAACAAAGGGGGAAAATGAATCTCACAGCGGGGATGAGAGCAGAGCTATTAGGACTGAACAATAGTCATATTCATTAGGTGGAGAATTTTACAATGCCCTGCAGAAAATCTGTAAAGTTAAAACACCTCCTCCTACTACACCCTGAACGGCAGCGTTTCTGCCTCTTTGTGCATCTGTCCGACTGAGTAATCCAAACAAAACGCACCTAATTACAAACCACATGTTGTTGTTGTTTGTGCCAGCAGCGGAGACAAAAACAGCCACCGTTCCGGCCGTCATTCTTTTTGTCTGCCTCTTTTGTTTTTTCGTTCAAGTGGGTTAAAGAGGTGGAGCGGGGATTTTATTTTTTACCTGTGCATTTTTTCAGGCTGCCAGGTCGCTTCCCGTGCATCCCCAGCTTGCAGTTGAAATTTTCCTCCCAGAATTCAGCAAACCAGACGTTCCGTCTGTTGTTGGACAGCGAGCGGCTGCGGAAATACCGGTCGAATGCTGTGACAAAAAAAAAAAAAAAGACAAACATCATCTTATATTTCACTTATTTTAGCCTAAATCACTGAATGTCAACAAGAACATAAAAGAAAAACAATGTCATCATGTTGTTGTAAAGCTCTTTTTGCTCACCAGGGTTTACGTTATTTAAAAAAAAAAAAAGAAGCTTATTTATATTTAATACGCGACTACACAGTAAAAGCTTTCCAGGAGTGAAGCACCTGTCAAAGACTGCAGTAGAGCCGAAAACACATTAAATTAGGATTCCACGCTGTAGGAAGCTTCTGTCCAATTTAATAAGTAGAGGAGGAAATACATATGTGGGTGGATGTAGTGTTTTGAAGGAGCTGTCAGAAGCTAAAGATAAGAATATGACACAAGAGCTCAGGGCTGGTACTATTTGAATTTTCTATCTTGGGAAAAACCTTTGTAGCATTCGTGGAGCAGAGTCAGTGCTTTAAAAACCAAGACTTGTAAATTAATCATGGGAAAAACTAAGTCAACTAAAAAGTAGGGAATGCATTTAAGGGAAATTTAAGGTTAAAAAAACCCAATTACACTGTTTCAAAAACATGTTAAATATTCATCTATCAACGGTCTACAACCTTCAACACCATAAGAGATTTATGTTCTCAAGTTGCAAAAACATGTTTATTGTTCAATTTACGCTAGTGATGCGGTGTACAGTATGAAGTTTTAGGTACTGTAGTAATACTGTAGCTAAATCACGGCAGTTCAAAAGGGAAGTTCTACCTGAGGACATGTAAGTGAGTAAAACACACCGACCTGAAGTAAATATTTCTGGCCCTGCCAGAAAATGCTACAGAAGAATGAAGAAGACAGTGACATTATGTTGTTTTGCTAATAGTTGGAAGTTGGAAATTTAGCATGGTGTTAATGTTTACCCCTGATTTTTGTAAAAGTAAATTTCAGTACCTCTGTATCTAATGGTACTGGTCTGATGTACGTCTACATTCGGACTAAATTTGGTCCTTTGCTCCAGAGATAACTCTGGTACTGGTCTGATGTACGTCTACATTTGGACTAAATTTGGTCCTTTGCAAAGAGCTCCAGAGATAAGTTAAGCTTCACAATATGAAAAAAAAAAAATTAAGGATCTAAACTGTCCTTGAATTAGCTTTTGTGAAAGGACAAAACAAAAGGAAATAATAACCAGAAAATGCAGACGACCCGTCCCCGTCCCCGTTCCCGTCCCCGTCCCTGACCTCAGACTCTCCATACCACAGCTGTGAAGTTCTCTGGTCTAATATTCTCCATAGAGGCAAAAATAAATAATAGGTGCAGTTTAACAATGATTTGCTGTAGGTGTCAAACTACCTCTTCACTAGGACTTCTGGAATTCACCGCCTGTTGCCTGGCAACCACACAACAGGGACATGGACAATGTGTCAACCGTTCCCCAGGTTGGTGTAAATAATCCCGTGACTCCAGTGTTTAACAAAATGTCAAAGCAGTCCTTGAAAGATGTTTCTGTAAATGTAATAACCGTGTGGAAAATATCCGTACACTGAAATACCGCAATACTCTGTTCCTTGATACCAGGTCGATATTCTACAGTACTCTATCGATTTATTTATGGACATGGAAATATTCATGCCGTTAGTTTATTTTGCTTTAATTTCTTCTCTTGCGATTTCAAGTGTAGATCCCTCTGTTCCGGTTTTAGTAACTACACGTTCATTAAGTAACAGCATTGAGTATTTATTATGCTGACATTTTTTATACAATCAACAGTATGAATATTATTGCAGTATATTGCAATACAGTGATCCCTCTCCTATCATGGTAGTTGCGTTCCAAAACCCACCGCAAAATGGGAAAAATCGTAAAGTAGAGACGTAGTGAACGAGAGAGCAACCGACAGAAAGGGGGAGAAAGCTGAGAGACGCTACGATGCATGAGGATCAATGCGTACACCGAGTACGCAGTGTATTAGCCAATAGTATGCTGTGTACGATCTCGTCTAGGTTGACAACGCTACGCCGGTAGCAAATGCGTTCAATTCTCAATTTCAAAACGAGAATCCACATTTTTACAGCCAAAACATTTATCATGTTTTTTAGTATATTTTTTGCTATATTTCGCGACATAGCGAGATCGGATGAAAAAAAAAAGCTGCGATGTACGGAGGGAGAAACCGCAATACAGATGTATATCGTGTTGTTTCCCCTGTATCATGTGAGTATTGTATCGCCAGATTGTTGCCAATACAACATCTGAAATATAAGGCACATTATTATCAAATACCTAATAATAATGGTAAAAACAAGCCAGAGCTAAGAGGTAAAATATAAATATATTAAATATATGTCAAGCAAGAAATTTCTCAAATGCTTTGCAGACGATACAATATTTATTGTTGTTCAGATTGTTTTGAATCTCGAAGACAGATAGGATCACACTGGGATATGAAGAACAATAAAGAACTCCCTCCTATATCCTAATAATAATAATTAATGGTGACATCATAGTATTTGTGAGTTTTAAGTTGATGTAAAGAGACAAAAAAAATCTGTTTCTTAGGAGATGTAAATAGAGGGACACTGGAAAAAGGAGCTCACTGCGTTTACTGACATGAATTAATGTCTTTAACACTGAAGTATAAAAAATATCTAATCCTCATTTAAACAAAGTATTCCTGACTCAACTCAAGTGCTGCACAGAGGGAACAAAAACAATTTTAAAAGAATAATAAAAAATACTGAAGTACTGAAGAAACATCTATGAAAATGAAGTCAAAGTTAATGGAGTCATCGTCTCCAACTGAGTTAAAAGCCAGTGAGAAAATGTGCTTTAAGAGAGGACTTAAGAACAGGAAGTGAGTCGGACTGTCTGAAGTACCGAGGCAACTCCTTCTTCCTCTCAACTGTTTCTTTGCCTCTGTAATAACCAACAGAAACTCTCTATGAGGACATTTTAAAACATATGGCAGAATTTTAAAACCTAAATCCTAAAACGAACTGGCAGCCATTCAAGTGTTGCTAAATTGGGCCAACCTGCTCTCGTGTTCTGGCGCCAGTTAGAAGGCGAGTGACGTCCATCCAAGCCCAGCATGAAGAGCAGTACAGTAGTCTAAACCAGTCGTGATAAAAACACGAAATAAAATTTTTAATGTGGTTGAAGTTTTCTTTTACGTTCTTTGTACTGGACGTATTATTAACGCTCCTCTGTCCTGCAGCTCCTCTAGCTGCTCCGGCTAGCCCTGTTCCAAACACGGACTTTGATTTATTTTAACTTCTGTACAAGCTCTGGTTCTCACTGGCTCTCTGTCACACTTTGAGTTTGTATCTTGTTGCCTCTGTGTCCCTCCAGGAGTCAATTATCTTAAAGGGGAGAACTGACAGGGAGCAAACGAGAATATGCTCACTGGCCCTAATGACATAAACTTGTTGCCTGCTGGGACCCAGAGTTAGACAACATGATTCGGTTCCTGGCCTTCCACTCTTCCTTCCTAAATGTGATTAATGGGACTTTGAGAAGAAGCACGCGGCCGCGTGTGGACAAATAAAAGCCTGTGTTGTGGTGCAGTATAATATCAAGTATTGACTCCATGAACAACCATATTATATCAGTGTCACTGTGGTGACAGGTTTTTTTTTTTTCATCGCCCTACCGTCCACAGACGCTCGCTTGGGGAGAATCGTTATGGCGCCCTCGGCCACTTTCTCCTGGCCAATCACAGGAGAGATTTTGGACCCCCAGCTGTCAGATCCCACCCACAGGAAGTGACCTGTCTGGTTGTTTCTCTTGGCTGCATCCAGAACTCGGCTAAAAGAAGAAGAAAAAAAATAGAATTAGCTTTAGCATTAGCGGTAGCTGCTCAACTAGCTGTAACGTGAATAAAAAACCCCCACATACATTACATTGAAAAATTAAAAGAAATTAAAGTCATACCAGGGTTAGTGTGCATCTGCTCAACTAGCTGTAACGTGAATAAAAAAAAAACAATACATTGAAAGATTAAAAGAAATTTAAAGTCATACCAGGGTTAGTGTGTATCTTATTAGGATTTTCAAGCTAAACATGAGTTTGTTTTTTGTTTTTTTTTTACTTAAACTTGACCAGGTAAGAGATTCAGGGACTACGTTCTCATGGACCTTGGTGGAAAAACTCCACAAACCCTGACCACTGCTTCACCACGTAAACAGAAAAAAAATCATTATTATGGAAAAATCTGAATACTCAGTGGATACTCTACTGCACTGAAACCCAAACACACATCTTTTTTACATCTGTAGTCACAATAATGCTAATGCAGTCACAAGTCACTAAGTTTTACTGCTGCTAATTTTCACTAAGTAAAGCATAAAAACCACAGAACGCCTTCATAAACCCATGTAAAACTGTACAATAATGGCCACCGACAGCATGGGCTCTCATTGGAGTGCACAGTGCGTACCGAATGTCATCCTCATTAGCGAACATGATGACGGCCCTGGCGTTGGAGGTCTCCAGCAGGCGTCTGATGATCTTGTCAAACTCCCCTGGTCTTGGCTCCCGGGGTATTTTCAAGGACTGGGCAATGCAGACGCCACCTAATACAGGGGAGGAAAAAGAAGAAGAAAGAGGGAAACAATGTATTTAGGGATTTACGCTGATGTCTGAGGAACCGAAGAGTAGAAAATGTAAAGACTCTAAACAGGAACAGGACAGTGAATTCCTCAGCCCTTGGGCGATTATTTTTTGGCTGCTTGAACAACTTAGTTCTTTTACTAATGAACCAAATTAGAGCCAGTATTGATACTCAGGAGGGAATGGTTGGTGTTCCAGCTGCTCCACTTCAAAAACAGCGAGATAAATGTGCTAACGTTTAGGAAACGCAGATAAAAAAATAAATACAAATTTTAAAAAATTGATAATATCATAACAATATAACATGCCAAGTGTAAATGTGTAAGTTTGAGCAGAGTCACAGTGCGAGGTAAAACATAGCTAGCTATTAGCTTAGCTTAACATGAACAAGTAAAATAGCGGGGCAAAGCTACACTGAGCTGGTATTAATAACACAACAAGTAAAATAGCGGGGCAAAGCTACATTTAGCTGGTATAATAATGACACGAATGAAGAATGACTTGACGTAAAGAGAGCGGATAATGGAGTAACAGCGGTGAAATAGTACTAAAAATACTAGGAAAGATGAAGTAACTCTGATAATGAGTCTTGATAGTCTGTCTGCTCTAAGGTTAAACATTCTTTCTCTCTCTCTCTCTCTCTCTCTCTCTCTCTCGCTCGCTCTCTTCACACACACCAACGTTCTATTGTAATTCACACTTCACTTTTAAGCTTCATTTAAACTTTTACTCTAATTGGCTCTTTATCATATCACTAGCTTAGCTGCAGGTATGAATGTGTGTATTAAGGTGTGAAAGACTTTGTTGTACTTTGTAGCTTAGGTTAGCGTGCCTGCCACGGAAGCAGAGAGCAGAGAGTCCTGGGTTCAATTCCCAGAGGAACCACATTGATAATGTTAATCCTCCTCTGTGTCCCGTTGGATAAAAGCGTCCGCTAAATGCGTTATTGTACATGTACATTACAAATGGCCGCCCTCACAGATGCACGATGTATGTAGCTACGTATGTACGTGTCCTTTGTGCTCACGTCTGTCAACTTATCGGTGTGTGTGTGTGTTTGTGAAAGTGTGTGTGAATGATGTCATTTCTCCTCCCTGCCTGTTCCAGCCCATTTATTGAACATCTGTACCGTCTGTCGCTTTCACTACATCACAGCCCTAAATCTCTCTCACTCTTTCACACACACACACACACACACACACACACACGATGTCCTGAACCCACACTGACGTGTGTCAAATTAAGAGCCACACAAGGATGATCAGCCAAAATGGTGAAATCAGTGTCTACACACACAGGCTATCAGCACTGTTTCCTCAGGAGACACTGAGAAAGTGGACACGCGCCTCTGTGTCATGGGCGGCTCGTTAGCAAACGGAGGCGCGGCGTGTGTCCAGTAGAGATGTTAGCAAATACGCAACGTGCTATTTGGCTGGGCTAATTTCTGACACCTGTGAAAAAAGCACCTGATGAAGTAAAAGTGCGGTCACGTTACGCGAGGATCGCTCGCCGCCTCCTGCTACATGACCACAGACTGCGGGGTGGACAATGATGAATCTCCAGTGATGTAAACAGTGAAATTCTATTTTTCAGTCAGAAAGACGACACTAGGATTAAAGCCAGTTACACCTGTTAGCATACCTGTTAGCATTGGATTCTTAGCTTAGCCTTGTATTCCATGATTCATGAGGCAGCACAGTGAGCTCTCAGTTTATCTCCAATAACCTGAGGATTGAGGCTTGGGTGAGAATGGAAAGCCACTGAATTCTTCTCCTCACACATATATTTATGCTGTTAATCCATATGTTGACATGTTGACTGTTAATTTTTTGTGAGCTTTAATTTGATTTTTTTTTTGTGCAAGATTACACGTCCTTAGCCTCAGACGTTTATTGCCTAAAACTAAAGATTAGCATGTGAGGACTGTGTACTTTAGTACCTCTTTAAATACGCACAAACCCACGACTTGAGCCTTTAAAACACACAGTTGTTGTTAAAACCTTTGCGATGAGTGCAGGCTGCGTGTCTTTGAGCAAAACTCACTTATACTCGCAATTAACTCCAACCTGTTTTAAGATTAAATTCACTGGGTTTCAGACCGGGAAACACCTCTCTCTCTCTCTCTCTCTCTCTCTCTCTCTCTCTCTCTCTCAACATTTAATTAACAATCTGCTTCCCTCCCACACGGTCCTCTCTCTGCACCATTTCATCTATTAACTTAAGGAGATACAACTGGGGAGAAGAAAAGAGGGAGAGAGGAACCATCACTCACCCGCTCCTGTCTTTACCATTTTCCCTTCTCACTCACCTCGTCTTACTCTTAAAGGCTAGAAGTCTCTGAATGGATTCTTTTAACAACATTGGAAAAATAAAATTCGGCGTTGAATGGATTCTTTTAACAACATTGGAACAACAACATCTTTTGATAAGTCAGTCAATATGAAAAACAAAGCAAAACACAATCATCATCATCAAAAAAAACAGAAAAACAAAGCAAAACACAATCATCATAAAAAAAAAACAAACAATCAAAAAGTTAGATTCAAATCAAAATAAGTGACTGCGTACACATTTCTGCACTTTATATTCATAGATGTAAAACATATATACCTGTCTACCTGCTATTATTTTGTTTCTGATTACATCAATATACAGAAAGAATTATTAGGACATATATGGCTTAACCTACAGTATCTACTGATGAAGTGAAGGGTCATACTGATTCTGATACTGACTCCATACACATCCGATCTCTGCAATGATGTTCTCTATTGTATCATGCCATCGTATCATCATCGTCATTATTTGGTATTTTATGGTATCGTATCGTTTATGGTATTGTGTTGTATCGTATCATGTCGGGTATGGTATTGTATTGTTGTATCGTATCGTGTATGGTATCATATTATATCGTATCATATCCTATATGGTATCGTATTGTATTGCTGTATCGTATATGGTATCGTATCATATCGTATATGGTATCGTATTGTATTGTTGTATTGTATATGGTATCGTATCATATCGTGTATAGTATCGTATTATATCGTATCATATCGTGTATGGTATCGTACTGTATTGTTGTATTGTGTATGGTATCGTTGTTGAAATAAGCCAAGGAGAATGGTCTAAAACATACAATAAAAAAAACTTTGAGTGTCGGGTGAGTATTGTTGTAGGATGGTACTTTCATATTCCCAACAAAACATTGGTAGCTAACAGAATAAGCCAGTGTCGCTAAGTGTTTAGCAATGCTATAAACTGCTTTCATAAAGAGCAGTTAGAATGTGCTTGAAAGAAAATGTACTTCCCACAAACTCACTCCTTGTCCCTGACACTGATGTGTTTAGTTGTGTATTTACCACTCCCACATACGCAGATAATAATATGGAGTACTGCTAGACAGAGTAGGTAATGAGGGGAACTTTAAAATGTGATTCTCAGCCCGCTGCATATTTCTGTTAGATGGCAGAATGTAAGAGTCTGAAAGAAGGAGGGTAAAATAAATTATTCCTCTACCAGGATTTAACTCCTCACACGCTTTATTATTGACCAAATATGAAGGTTTGGCACATCGTACATTTGACAGTAGGAAGAACGCACACTAGACTCAAAACTCTAGTACACAACACAGGCACATAAAAATATAATTTTGACACACTTTCCTTCCAAACCCTAATTAGCAGCGGCTCCAATATTTAAATTTGCCCTCTTCTGCTTCTCCGTGTTTCGCTCATGGCTAGTGGCGCTGCCTTTGAAGTCGCTAATATATTTCATTATTTATATACTCCTGGTGAATGTGTTTTTTTTGTGTGTTATAGCATACAGATGGAGGTGTTTCTCCTTACACACGCTCTGGTGGGTTTTTCCTCTGCTCTCCGACGATCGTTCTGGTGAAAAATAAAGGATTTTTTTTTACCTTTATAATAATAAATGCTCCGCTAACCCCCCCCCCCCCCACCCCACCTTTAGTTCAAACATCTCCTCAGGCCTGCTGATGAATCGTTGACACTAAGAAATTTACATCCGCCCATTAAAACATGACTTGAAGGACAGAGGCCTAGGGGCTTCGAAAGTTGTTGGAATTCAAAACTGATCCTCACCTGAACCCAGCAAAGCCCAAGGTGGTGAAACTTTTCTCAGTCCGTGGCTTCAATTTATTTCCTATTTTACAGAGTCAAATATTGATTATTCTGGGATAATGAAAAAGAAATTCTAACTTTCATTAATAAAATATAAATAAAACATATCTATCACTTAGAAAATCAGTAGAACATATAAAAAGTACTGTGTCGTCTGCATAGAAAGAAAGAAGTATTTTCTGGGGAATATATGTGTCATCACTCAGTGGCTGGAGCCAGTTATTAATATTAAAATTATTATTCATATTAATATTTGTTGTGTTTTAATATTCTGTCTTCAGAATGAATAAACTGTTAAAGCTGAAAATATATGACTGTATTAGCACAAAGCACATACAGTATATACTACATATATATGTAGTGTATATATATATATATATATATATATATATGTAGTGTATATATATATATAAAGTAACCTGTAACTGTCTCTTGTTTCTCTTATTAGTTAAAGAGTATTTTGCTGAACTAACAGTAACAGTATTGAACTATGAGAATGCTGGTACTTTTTAAATACTGCTTGTTTAAAAAGTACCAGCATTCTCATTGTTCAATATGCAAGTGTATGCACTGAAAAGTAAAGAGTTTAGAAAGAGGAGAACATACATAGAGCAACTGCAAAACCGAGTAAGAAACAAAAGAAAACTGCTGTAGAGAGTCTTCACTCTTCGTCTCTTCGTCTCTTCTCTGGTTTAAATCACTTCAAGTAAATCATCCGTACAAGTGCCACACCCCCAGAACCGATGCTGGAGTACTTAGCTTCGTAATCTCATCAGGCACAGAGAGCAGGTATCGGGCCTGTCACAGAAACTGCCCACTAT